AGGACACTGGGTCTGGTCCCAGCTCTGACCGGTTCACCATGTTGCTCCCTGGCCTTGATGGACCCTCCGCTTAACTAAGGAGGACTAGGGCTTGACCTCAGCTCCTCATGACTTGGGGTGCGCACCCCGTTTAGAAGATGAGGGAACAGGGCTCCCAGTCCCTTGGGATGCGGACCCGGAAGATCTGTCCATTTTCTGCGTCTGCATGGATTCCCTGTGGCCCCGGCTTCCTGCCCCCTCTGGTCTCCTCTCCTGGTCCTCTGAGCAGGACCGAAGGCTGCTCCATCTGTCGCCTGGCCGCCTGGTCAGGGCTGTTTCCTGGCCTTGTTCGGTGCCTTAGGAAGGCATGGCAGGGAGGCCTGAGTCACGGGGCAGAAAAGGCTCTGCTCCAGGCCCGGCCTCCCCCTACCCTGGTGTCCAGCAGGGTTGACCTGAGCCCCGCTGGATCCCTGCGGCTAGAGCCTGCAGCTTCTGGGACCAAGGGGATCCCAAGTTCTTAGAAAAATTAAAAACCAGACAGAAGCAAAAAATCGCAAAATAAAAAATAAATCGCTCCTCTCCCCCTTTCCGTATATTTTATATGCATGTGGACACATGCTCTTTTTTTTCTTTTTTAACCAAAATGAAATGGTAGTTTGTTTTTTTTTTTTAATATTTTTTTAGTTGTTTGTTTATTTGTATGTGGTGCTGGGGGATCGAACCCAGGGCCTCACACATGCTAGGCAAGCGCTCTGCCCCTGAGCCCCAGCCGCAGCCCGAAATCATAATATTTTGAAACCAGTTTTTTAAATTGTTGACGTTTTTGGATTCTAGAAGTACGAAAGGTCCCGACGCGCTCACTGTGAAAACTGTGAGGTTGCATGGTCCCTTGGCCCCAGCCCCATCCGTCACTGCGTCCCAGGCCCGGTGGGGGGCGCTGGCTGTGAGTCGGCCTGTGACGTGGGCCGTCTTCTGGGCATGACATTCACACGCCTGTGACGTGCGCAGGACAGATAGGGGCACGCGGGGTTCTTTGTGGCTAACCTGGTTTTCTTTTTGGCGCGGCCCTGGGGCGTGGATATCTGTTCATGATTAATCCAAAGCCGCTTCGTTTCTGAATGACAGTCCAGTGTTTGTCACAGGGATGTTACACAAAGGACC